AAAAGTTTTGGAAGAAGAAAGCCCATTATTCTGGCACTCGTTTAAGCAACGTGTTCATTTATCAAAGCTGAAAGATGGTTGTGTACATTTTCACAGATGAAAAGCTTACAGTTTCAGTTGAATGCATAAATGCGTTCATCTAACTTGCAGCCCGCTAACTAGCTGGATCACTGCTACGTTTGCTTATCTGCTTTTACGTACCAATAAATGATTACTAACGTGTTTGCTTTTTCTGGCATCTCGCCAGCATAGAAAATTCATCAAGTCTGTCCTTCCTCCTCCTTCCTCCCCTGCAGAGGGACAATTTAAATTTGACTGTCCTTCCTTTATTTTGTTTCAATAATTTCACATTATTTGGACGCTATGGACTGTTTTATATACTTGCTTGCAGCAGAAGTCCTGGGACTGTATTGGGTAGTAGAGGAAAAGGAAGAAACTCAGGTTTACATAAGTGCGTTTCAGCATCTTGCCCATTTTTGTGGGTTCAGCATGGATGCTTTTGGCTGAACGACTGGTAGTGTGCAAAATCCTCTCTTGGATTTGAGTCGTTCTAGTTTAGATGGTGCCAGATTGCTGTGGAGACCATGAGTAGTGTCACCAGCCTACCGCCTGTCCAGTTCCTCTGAAATCTCCTTCAGTTGCTTTTGTAAAGTCAGTGCTTCTCGATAGATTTGTGCACATCAAAGGACTCTTGTTGTGCTTCAATCAAAGTCTCCTTCGCACAAAGTGCAAATGTCAGTGTGCTTGCAGCAGCTGGCTGCAAACGCGCTGCTTGATCTTCTTGAGAGCTCCCTGTCAGTGGCAAAGTGCAGCACTGGCATTCCTCTTGCAAAAGGAATTCTGAACTCCCTTTGGGAAAACTGGAGTTTCTTCTTTCTCAGCAAGATGTGTTTAACATTTGGGATGACTCTGCCAGAGAAATGTAGACGAGATCACAATGGTAGTGTTTTAATGGTGCTACTTGTGGGTTGCCTGTGACAGTGAGAGTTTGTTTGGCTTTGCGGTACCAGAACTCCCATTCTGTCCTCTGTCCCTTACATAGTCTGTCTTTTTTTTTTTTTTTTTTTTTTTTAAAACATGGTACCCACGGGGAAGTCCACAGAGGCCTTCACCACCAAGCCTCCAAATTAGTGCCCCATCGAAGTAGGTCTTTCCAGAAAGAGACGTCCAGACAGATTTGCAAACCTTGTGATTAATTACCACATTCCTTGACAAATTATTATAGGGATTGATAAAATGTACTCCTTAAATAGCAAAGATTACTTCTGCTTTAGAAATTGATGTGAGCAAAGTTCAGTTGCTGGAGCTTAAGCTGTTTCCTCAGAATATGGAAATAAAAATGCACCGTCTTTCTTTCCTTTCGATGCTTGCTTGACGTTTTCAGCCCTTTCTGACGTTTCAGAGCTTTGCATTGATTCAGGCATGAAGCACTCACCACAAAAAGAAGTGTGTGGTTTTTTTTTTTTTTTTCCCCCCTCCGACTCCTTATAGCACCTAACTGCTTGTAAGATTCTGCTTTGCTTTCAGCAGAACACAAAATTGATGCTTGTATTTGTGCTGTGCGTTGTCGCTTGCCGCCGTGGAGGGCCTGCTTGTCCCCATGGAGCTGGAGAAGAGCGTGTGGCACGGTGCTGTGCTTCTCCCTTCAAACTGCATGTCCTGTGTTTGAGGCGGTGCTCTTACTGTAAAACGGCATGTTCTTCCAGTCCGGTTTGTCTTTCAGTTCACTTTGTGGTGCAATTGCTGATTGATTGAATTGATCGTTTTTGTAAAAGAGCAAACGTTCTTGAATCGTTAGCGTACCGGCAGTTTTACAGCAAGGTTGAAAGGGTTGCTGCCTGCTTTCACCATCTTTATTACACTAAGTCCACGTTTTATTTACAGTGAATAATATGGATGGTATTTGCTCTCTTCCTTTTCAGGACTTAGTAATAGAAACAATGGTAAAGTGCCAGTGCTTCCTGATGGCATAAAAATGCCCCACGTACTTGGTTCTCCTGCCACATACAGGCTGCTTCTGCCTTCAAGGTTAAACCCGTTGCCAAGCTTCAGTTCAGGAGGAAGTTTTTCCCCAGGTTAGGCTGACTGGGACTGCGTGCTTTTTTTCTCCTTAGATGGGATGGTTAACTTCCTTGAATGCTCTGCTGCGGCAGTGCCCTTAATCCCGCCTGTTCTCGCTGCAAGCCCAAAATCGGCATCGACAAGTGGCATCTAAAATACAAGGCTCACAGAGCGTCCTGAATTAGCCATCTGTGCCACCGATGCCTGTGACTGCAGAGGACTGGACTTTACTACTCTAATGATACCTTCCAGTTAGAAGTCCTGATGTTGAAGGAGACCTAAAGGAATCTGGTTCCTCACCCCTGCTCCAGGCCAGGCCCCGGCACTTCAGTTATCCCTCATTTTATTCTGATACTCTCGAGCTGTGTGCATGGGAGCAGAAGTGCTGGGCTGCTCTGCCTTGCCCCTGCCCTGCAGCTCTGGAAGACGGCTGCTCTTCCTGGCTGTAAATCCCCTTCTCCCTGCAGACATGTGCTCTTTGGTCCTGCGCGTTGCTCCCCAGCAAGCCGGTTAGCCTGGCTACCGGCTACTGCTGTCTCAGCAGTCCACACTCCAGGCATGTTGTCGGTTTGTTTGGCAGGCAGTGAGGGAGCTTAGTCCCAGGTGTTTGGGGAAGGACTGCATGCAGCTCAGCTCCTACCTGCTCCTGGGATGCTCGTGCCAAAGAGCGCAGAGGCAGCCCCTCGCAAAGGGTGCGTGTTAAGGAGCGCATCTGGCAGAGCAGTGTGGAGCCCCATGGTTTTGGGTGGCTCTGAGGCAGGAACTGCAAGTTCAAGTTGTGGAGATGGCTCTGGCAAGAGTAACCCCTCGCTGTTCCTGCAGTGCTGGCCTGGCTTGGCTTGTTTCTGTTCCTCTCTCTGTCAGCATCTGACTTCTTTCCCCTCTTTCTCTCACAGGCTCTGGCCTTGTCTTGGTAGTGACACAGTCTCATTTTCCTACGGCTGCCACGGATCAGAAGGAGGGGTGGAAAGCAATTTTTTTGTTCAACTCGAGAATGTTTTTGGGTATAGAGAAGGTGACAAGAACTGGCATGGTGACCGCACAAGCTGCCCAATGTATGAAATATTGGAAAACCCCCTTCTAGAGCAGGTTATTCCTCATCTGATAAAAGTGCTGCAACTTTGCTCACGTGGGCGATTTTTTACGTTGCCCATGTCATGTGGTTGCTGAGCGCGTGCAGTCCTGCTTTAGTGCACTGCAGTCATGAGCGTGCTGAAAAGTTGGAGCCCGAGTGGGGCCATTTGCAGCTTTAGTGCTGTAAGGAGGATGGGTGTGGGACAGCTTGGGGTGGAGTATAAAAAAGGCGCTTCTGTATGCAAGATCTGAGTGGGCATTTGGGAACTCGGATGCGCTCGGGGAAGGTGTGCTGTGCTGCCTGCGCCAGCTCCAGGAGCGCGCGCACAAAGGAGGAGCTGTGGCAAAGTGGGGTGGGGTGGAAGTCGTCAGCGGCAGCAGGACATGTATGAACCAAGGAAGGGTTTGCACGCGTGTGGGTGCCTCCTTCTCCTCCTTTCCACATGCCAATGACACTGCTCCGGCTGCAGTGCTGCTGGCTGGCTCCCTCCGGACCCAAAATACATTTCATTCCTTGTCAGCCGCGCTCGGAGCCAATGGGGAGCCGTGGGCCTCTGCGAGCAGCTCTTGCAGAAACATTGCTGAACGGCTCAGGAATGCAGAGCTGGAAGGTCTCCACGCGCCGGCGGAGGAGGCGGCGCGCTCCACCCTGCCGACCCCAGAGCCTCGCTCTCAACCCCGGCCCCGCACCCGAGCAGGAGGGACTCGCGGGCTCCTCGGGATGCTGGGAGCAGGCCACTGCGGAGGCAGACCCTCCTGGCACCCTTGCTCTTTGAACGTACGCAGGAGTCAGACCCAGCCTTCCCTGTGTACCCAAGCCTTCCACCTCCCTTTATTTCTGCTTGCTCTGACTCATTCCTGACCAAAAACCAGATCCAGTTACTTTTTATCCATTTCAGGTCTTGCTCTTTCCTCCTCCATCCCTTAAAGGGCTAGATGAGAGCGGGGGCGTGCTGCCTCCTAGGACTTCCCTTACTGCCGCTGGGAGTCTCTAGGCCTGTCTCAGTCAGGGCTGCCCCCCAAGGAGTGACAGCCTGAGACTCCTTGAATTGCAGCCTGTGCCATGCTGGGTGACCGGCATCCCCTTGAAGAGCAAGGACCGCTCTTTGCACGTAAGCTGCTGGGGTCAGCAGCTCAGAGCAGCTAGCAGAGGCTCAACTGATATAGCCCCTTCAGCTGGAGGTTGAGCCAATTGCCCTGGGTTTTCTGGTGCCGCTCAGTAGCCCAGTGCCCCTTCTGACGGTGTGGTTTCTTTTAGGGCCTGAGCAGCACCCCAGGCAGCACTGGGGGAGTGGGGTGGCAGAAGCATCAGGGTTGCCGTGTGTTACTGTGGTATGTTTTGTTTTGTTCAAAGGCTGCAACAAGGCGGTAGAGTGAGGCTGCCAAAATGCCTTGCCCAAGAACCCTACTGGGTCACGTTAAGGATGCGTTCAGCCTGAAACCTTTCCCTGACGGCCATAATTGGATGCCTGGTAGAAAAAAAAAATAAAAATAGAACAAGCAGATACGATCCTTCCCATGAGTACTTGTGTCCTCCAACCATCTGTGGTTTAAGGACAAGGAAGTCCATAGGGCTGCTTTCTGGATCAAGTCATTCCCTCTGGAGAGAATGCAGATTCCTCCTTCCCTATGAGCAGGCTTGGGAGGGGAAGAAAAGGAATGTAAGTTCTGGAGAGTGCAGGGTTGGGGCTGGTGGGGAGACTAGGGGATAGCTGCGAAGAGTGGGGAGCAGCCACGCCACCAGGCCTGCGGCGGGACAGACACAATGACTCTTTGTAGGGAGCCAGAGGCAGAGGTTGCTGCAACCCAGAGAAGTGTCGGAGGGCCTGCTGGACAGAGTAAACCTAACGGAAAGGACTCTCCCTACAAACCGCAAGTGGGCAGGTGGCAGACTTATTTACAACCTCCTTTTATTTTTGTTATTTCTCTGAGTTTAATCTGTTGTGAAAATATTGTTGTTCCAGTTATGTCATTACACCTGGCCCCAGTGGTTCAGAGGCCTTTTAAGGGTGCTCACTGTGAGGTCAGCCTGTTATTTCCTTAAAGCTTGACCTGACTTGGGGCCTGTTTCATGTAGCACGTAGCTCCGTAGCACTGCTGCTTTAGCAGCCATTTGCACCACGCTGCATTGCTACAAGAGCTTCAGCACTACTGAATGCTGTGGGTGGGTGTCTTGCCAGCTTGCTTTGGTCCTTTCAGGTTGCTTACTTTGTCCCTAGTAGTGCTTCTCCAGCAAATGTGATATCCGGGGTGTTGAACTGCATAGCAAAGGCACCTCATGCACAGAAATGCTGATTCTGGGGCCTGCATGCAGCAGCAGGGAAACTTGGAGAGTGCAGAGCCAGCAGGCAAGGTGAGTGACTCCAAGACTTCTAGCTCTCTGCCCCCTCTCCTGTCCTCCGAGCTCTCATTTTGCTGCAGTGGATATGGAGGGTTGCTGTTGTGGCTCTCTGGTTAATATGTTTAAATTGGAGCCAAATCTGAGGATACTCACCAGGACTGAGGCCGTCCCAGTAAGGCACTCCCAGGCAGGAAGATGGATTTCCTGCCACACGAGCTCTCTGGGGCTGTTCTTTGGTTTGCTTTACCATCTGGCCGCCTGCGCCTTAGTGGAAGGAAGAACTGAGCCTACCTGGCTGAGGAGAGAAACTAAAAGAGGTGTTAACGCAAACTTCTATGGGTATAAATTAAACCAGCTTATTGGGTTGCGTAATTCAACATAATTGTAGGCTACTGCCACAAAGGGGCAGTCCTCTGCCCATATCTGCTGCTTGTCTGGCTTCTTGCCCTGGCAGGTGAGTCAGGTCAGACTGACTCAGGGGACAACTCTTGCCCCAGGAGCTTTGCTAGATTCCTGAGAAAACATGCCCTGCAGCTGGGTAATCTCTAGATCTACGGAGGAAGGAGTGGCCTGAACACTACCTTTTTTGGTGTATATCTTCCAGTTACTTTGCATTAGATGTGATGTGGGCCTGTGCTGTCAGGACTGCACAAATCAGACACTGAGCGAGCAATGACAAGAGTGAAGAGCTAAATGTCTTCTCTGCAGGGTCTGGTGGGTGATTCTGGGTTGCCTAAAGGTCTAAGATGAGGCCCTGCCTGGTGAGCTGGGAGCTCACAATTCCTTCCCATTTCTGCTGCTCCAGACCTTGGGCGCTGCAGCTCTTCTTCTGTGCTGGGCTGCCTCCCCTGCTGCCATGCATCTGTCCTTCTGCAAGTTGCTTTGTGCAAGGACTCTCTTACCCTGGGTTTGCACAGCATCTGATGCAATAGACCCTGGTCTCAGGGTGCTAATGCTATACACAGAGGCAATGGTGACTTTGCAAGCTGATATTCTTAATGAATGGGAGTGTTAGTTGGGGAGCTGGTGCCTGTTCAGCTGCCTTGGGGCAGATACTAAAGGCAGGTCTGTGAAGAGAGAACTTACATTTGGAAATCATCTGACTAAGGAGGGGGAAAGGATCCTAGTGCTATTCTGCCATCCTAGCAGAGGGACCGGGGTTTTTCTAGTACCACAAAACTGCTCATGCAAGCTCATTGCAGCATGTAAGTGCAGTATAAATCATCAGCTACTTTGAGCTTCCCTTTTTTCCAGTGAATTCAAAGGGTTCTGCCACTTCAAATCGGGGCAGGTTCTGCCTTGGGGCTTTGGCTGTGTCTTATCAAAGAATGGCGCCGGACAGGCCATTTCCTTCGCTTCTGCTTCTCAGAAGCTGCCTGATCTGAGGCCAGAGCGAGGCCTGGGACTGCAGCACTGTCCCTGAAACACTGAGGTTTTGATCCCAGGACAGAGCCTAGCTTTACAGAGAGCGGTCTTCACCTGTCTGGAGGCAGAGGTCCGGCAGGCTTTTGGCACACGAGTGTTGCCAGATTGCAGGCAGGAGTTCCTCTCATGTCAGCTGGGGTGGCCATGGCTAGCTAGGTGTCTCTGCCCGTGTCTGACGTTGGATCCTGGGTCCCGTTGTAAGCATCGCCCAGGCCTCCTGGGGCGGGTGGTTCACAGCCTAGCCTGGCTCTGTCTTCCTCCAGGATCAGTTATGATTCCTTTTTCTTAAATAAAAGTCCTAACATCTACAATTCTTGAGGCCATACTTGGGAGATCCACCAGCCTGGTAGGTTGTTTGGAGGTCAACAGGCATGCAGTTGGCACAGCATTCAATTGGCTGCTACTGGAGGTGCTGTCTGAAATTGAGAAGAACTGGGAATAGACTGACTAGGAGTAAACAGACTGGAGACTGGACCTGCCTTCTGAAACGTGCAGCGAGTGAGAAACAAAACAGTTATCCAGGTGGCTCTGGGTCAGTCTGGGTTCACGCGATATGAACAGCAGGAGCTGCATTCGTGGATGTTGGATGCCTGGACATCTATCACATTCCTGCGACAGAAAAAGCCGGGGCTTGGGTATGGAGGAAGGGGAAGCAGCTGGGTTTGGAGACAACCTGGGGACAGGAGATAGAGCAAAAACCTCTGCTGTTTGTGAGCCTGAGCTGGAGAAACGAGTGATCGTTTTGGGTAATAGAAACCAAACCCTAAGCACATCCCAGGAGTTGGCTCCCATTACAAAGGTGTGTTGTAGGTCGTGGTTGTGCAGCATATGCCCTAACTGCAGGGTCCAGCTATGTTGTTGTTCCCACCACACCCAACCCGCTTGCCATTTCCCAAATCCCCATTACAGCAGCGTGGGTTGCTGCTGGATGTATGGCTTAGTAATGCTCTAGGCTGGAGAGCGATGCCAGGCCAGTTGATCTGCAAAATGTTAACTGTGCTGGTGGAACTGGTATGAGCTTGTCGGGTCTGGGCTATGTCCGTGAGGTGGCCAGTGCCGCCAGCTCACAGCCTGCTTGCTGGGCAGCCGGGTAAGTCCCGAGAGGAAGTACGTGAGCGTTTTGCTGTATGCTGCCTGCTTCTCCATTTTTGCCCTCACCCTGCAGAGGGGCTCCCCCTGCTTCGGGGGAAGTGAGGGGAGGAGCAAAATGCTCCGAGTGTGGTTTGTCACGACCCCAGGAACGGGGCCACCACCCCTTATCTGGCCCAGAGCAGCTGCCTGGGCTGCAAGGTGCATCTCACAACCTTTCTCACCTGTGCTGCTCGGTTGCGCTGAAGCCCTGCAGAGGAGCGCCTGTGCTGCTGTGGCAGGAAATCGGCAGCTGCATATCGGCAAAGCGGGGTGGGGTTTGTTTGTGGTGCAGCATGAGCCCAGGCTCTCCGTGCTGTTGGATGCCTTGGTTTGAGACTTTGACTTGATAAGCTGTGTGGAGCCAGGGCAGCCAGTGAGGCTAGCAGCAGTTAAGTGACTGCCTACTGTTTTGGGGACAGGGGGTTATGGTAGGGAAAAGTGAGAAATGCATGGCTGTTGGAGGGCGGGAGATTCAGCTTGGCTAATGCTTGGTGGCTGTAGTTTTGGAAATGGTTCCTGGCATCTGTGAATTGGGGGTGGGAGGGAGAAGAGAGGCCTGGGGGCCACATCCTGGCAAGATGCTCACTCCTCCACAACTGCTGGGCTCCTCCTGCCTGGCATCCCCTCGGCTCTCTCCAGGAGCTCCGTCAATGTTCCCCTCTGGCAACTGTGGTCTGGAAATTCAGCATCCTCTCTGGACGCTGGGAGGGAAATTGGTCTCCAGCATGCTGAGCGAGGGATTTGCAGGCACGAGCGGTTGCTCTGCATGCTGAGTCGGAGGAAGTAATGGCACTGCAGCCGCCTAGGAGCTCGTGACCGCAGCGGATAGCTGCAGCCAGGCTGGAGCCTGCCCCATGGCAATGCTGTGGTGGGCTCAGCAGCAGTGTGCTGCTGCTGCCAGGAGCTTCTTCTGAAGGAGGCTCTTGGAGGGGGCTCTGGCAGCCCCAGACAAGTCGGCTCAGAGGGACTTGCATCTCCGGACACGTGGGTCATTTGGCAGCTGCAGGGCCCAAGGCCACTGGGAGCAGTGCTTGCAGCCTGGCCCCTGGTGTCTCCAGCATGCCTTGTTTCCCTCTGGCTGATTCCCCCCGTGGCAGGACAGTGCTGGCTGTCTGAGCAATCAGCTTGGGATATGGTCCTCTTCTCGATCCTGTGGCTCTTGTGCCTCTTCTAGCTGGCAGGCTTTTACCTTTTTTGTGGGCTTCTGGCACCAAAACTGCTTCCTTGCGCCCAGGGAGCACCTTTCTGCTCCTCCTGTGAAGAGCTGGCACACTGCTCACCGACAGTGGCTCCCCCGGCCAAAATACCAGCTACTACCAAGCCTAGCAGGTAAAATGCCAGCACGTGCTGTAGAGCAGAGGTAGCTCAGCAGCATCCCGCTCCCAGCAGTGGCCTGCCCTGAGCTGTGCTCTGCACGGCGAGCGTGCTGACCTCTTGCTGAGCTCCCCGTGGGACCTGCCCTGGGTTATGCAGCTGAACCGTTTCCCACAGCTGGGCTGTGCTAAGCTCTGGAGAGCACCTCATCCTCTTGCTGAACTTCTACTTGGGCTCCGGGAATTACCCTGCCGAGTGCTCAGGCAGGCTTGTTAGCCCCTTCGGAGGGATTTGTGCAGAAAGAGAGGCTGTTGCCCCAAGGAGAATACGTGGATTTGGCAGGAGGACAGTTACTTGGAGTTACTTGGACGGAGAAGACAGCCAGGAAGCTGAAACAGTTTTGATATGCTGAGTGTTGCTGATTCCCCTTCGCCTTCCTCTTCATCTTCTCTGCTGTTGCAGTCCAGGTCTCTTGCTGCTCCGTGCTTGCTCCTCTCAGCTTCTTTACTCCTGGCCCACTTAGGCCTGCCGGGCTGGCTTCATCTCCCACTGCAGCTCCATCATAACATGTTGCCCGTGTCCCTTCCCGGAGTATATTGCTGCCGGTGTATCCTGGGTCCATCAGAAAGCTGGTGCCTGGGAATGACACTTTAAGAGGGCTGACTGCACAGCCAGCAAAGCGAGCGTGGATTGCGTGGGAGTGGAGGAGGAAATGCATGCCCTTCCCCTCCCCGCCCCACGTGCATATGGGGCGGATGGCTCCCTACGGGGTATCTGTATGCAGTGAGGAGTGAACTGGTGTGCAGCTGAACTTCCTTTATTCACACAAGAAATTTCCTCTTTTTGAGACCTACACGGTCATTAGCGACTCCCTGATTGCACAGGAGCTCTGTTCAGGTGAGCTGTGGCCTTTTTCACCTTGCTGCTAGCTGCTGCTAGGATCACTGTGCTGTCCCAGGCTGCATGGTGCCTTGTACCCTGTTTCTCATGCAACTGAGAGCCACAGAAGGAGGAGTCAGTAAACAGCTGTAGGGACATCTGTATTTTGTGAGCGAGTGCCTGGCTCTTGTTTGGGACCAGAGAGTCCCAAACTTTCATTCAGTTTCCTCTACGGCCTCTGTTCTTTCTGATATGAGCCAATATTCTCCAGGGGCAGGGGGTTCCACCAACAAATCCTGCAACACATAAAAAGTATTTTCCTCCCTCAGCTTTTAATTAGCCATCGCTCAATTTTAGTGACTGCCCTTTCCAGGGGACAGGAGCAGATAGGAGCCACCCTCTCCCTTTGCTTATCTCTTCTCACTGAGCAGCTCCAGGCTTTTCCGTTTCTCCAGGTCCCTCATCTCTAGGAAGTGTGGGTGCCTGTTATATGCTCTGGGGAATTTCTGAGTGTTTGGGGGTTGCAGCTCTTTTCTCAGTCTCCTGGCTTAGCACTGTCGGATGTTGCTGCGGGACCTCTGAGGAGCCCCGATAGCTAGGGCAAGACCCTACTGGCTCAGGGTCAAAGTTTGGTTTTCCTCTTGTGGCTTCTGTGTCATGGCAATTTTAATTATAACTCCGTCCATCGTGCTCTCCTATCTTATCTCACAGTACTCCCATGCACTCATTTCCTCCTTGCTGACAGTGTCTCTGCTGAGTAACAGCTATGGTCACTTCTATATGTGAACAAAATTGACCGTGTGACCTTGGAGTCAAGGCCCTGATAGGGAGACAACAGCCCTTAACTTTGGTTGAAGGCCTCAGACAGTCCTTAGATGTAAAGAGATCACAGGTTCTGACCTTCAGCCCTTGTATTTAGGAAGGACCTTGCAAATATACCTGTGTCTGATCAGCTGGAGATTTCCATCACTGGGACCTTCTCCCCTTCATTAGCACAGAGGTGGGAAACAGAATCTTTTCATGGGCTCTTTAATGCACATAAAGGAGTAGCTAAGCACAGGGTACAGTCCTTGTTTGTAATTAGAAGCTATTTCCCAGCTATTTCTCAGTCATGCCAGAGGAAAGAAATAGAAAAGACCCTGTGCGCTGATTTGTGGAAGGGACAGTGCCGGTTGAGTTTGCTGAAGAAGCAGGGACGTTTCAGTGAAACGGCTCCCTCTTGTACCTGTGTGATTGCAACCTACTTCTGGCATTCTGGGATGTTGAGACTCCTTGAGCAGCAATGAGATGCTGGTATGGATGCAGGCCCAGCAGTGAGAGCTGATCCAGTTCTGTCTCCTCTGGCAGGTGACGCAGGAGTGGGGACTGTCCAACCGCCACCATGGTTGCCCTCTCGCTGAAGATCAGCATTGGCAATGTGGTGAAGACCATGCAGTTCGAGCCTTCCACCATGGTGTATGATGCCTGCCGGATGATCCGGGAGCGGGTGCCTGAGGCCCAGATGGGACAGCGTAAGTAACCTGCTCTGGTGGCCAGTGCCATCCTATCTCAGCCTGTATGGCTCAGAAAGCAAGGCTCCTGCCGCACTCCTGTGCTGTCCTACCTTCCTGTCAAGGTATTTCTTCTGCTTTCCCAACTGAATCTCTCTTTTTCCTCTTTTTATGCCCCTATGAATTGCCGGGAAAGACCTCTCATGCTTCTGGTGCTGGCACCCTTTAGACACTAGTCTTTTCCCCGAATGCAAAGCCCCCTCTCCCAGTTCTGCAGCTGTGGACAAGCTACTTGTTGTTTCTGTGTGCTCTGTAGCCTGATATGTTTGGTCGGTAAATGGCTATACATTCCCTTTGGGGGGGGAAAAAAAAACCCAAAAACATTTGGACGTTTCAAAGACCTCCCTCTTCAGTTTTGTCCCAGTGCAGTTCTGGATTTTTTCCACACAGAGCAGGATAGTTAGTTGTGTCGTTATTGGAGTGCTTTCCTGGTATGGGGGAGAACTAGGCTCAGGTCTTCTCTGCCTGACTGAGACCAGAGCCTAACCTTGGTCCTTCCCTAGTAACTGCTTCAGGTTGTTGTTTTGTGGCCCCCATCTCGTGCAAAAAAAACCACTTTATTCTGAACCCAAGAAACTTTTATTGACGAGGGGTTTTGTTGAAACTGGTACGTCCTTGCAAAAACATTCTGCATCTGATGATGGAGGTTCCATGGTTCTGCTGGAAAGTATTCAGAAAAGTGCCATGCCTGTGATTCAAAGTTTGGAAAATTTCCCTCACACTGAGAGATGAAAGTAGCTCTGAGTTTCGTTTGACAAAGAGTTGCAAGTACTGTTCTGCAAGAACTTTCTGGGGAAGGTTGCTTTGACAGAGAGATCTTCAGTTTGGTGATTTCCCTGCCCTTTGCTGGGTGGATAGGCTTCCAAAAATTAAGCTAGTGTCCCCACTATGCAGGTTTGTAGCCCCAAAGAGAATAGAATAGAGCACAGGAGCTGGCTTTACCTGGACGTAGTACGTGCGGCTGGATAAAGCTTCAGGTTAAATGAAAGGGCTTTCTTCTGTCAAAGTGCCTGTCTGGCACAGAGTACAGTTTGTCAGCTTGTAACCTTGGGGAGTTTTGTGTGTGCGTGTGTTTTGGTTTTTGTTCTCTATTTTTTTTAAAGCACACTTAATTCCTACAGTTTGGATGGTCTGGTTCTGTAACTCTTGCATCTTCTGAGCACTTGCTGCCCTAGATCTCTCCAGCTAATCGGCCTGAAGAAAGCGGTGATTTGACACTCCCTTAGCCAACCTGCAGCTCTGTAGTGGTGCAAGACAGAAGCAACATGCTCCCCCTAAACACTCACCCTGCTTTCAGGTTGCTGTTGTGGGACCAGAGCTTTGAGCTCTTTGGGCTCCCTTATTTAAACCTTAGAAGAAATTTGGGGGTCTGAGGTAGGGAAATGCATCTGAAAGTGGAATAGTCATCAAACTCTGTTAAGCCTACTGCCCTTCCTCTCTCTTCTCTCTCCTATTCGTAATCATTACGAGGAGCCAAGATCAGTTGTTTGGATGGATTTAAACTGTTGCCCTGGTTCTAGGGAGTGTTAATAAACAGTATAAATGAACATTTCCTTTGTTGGGAAATATGTCGTCCTTTGTCTGGTCTATCCCTTCCCCAGCACTTCTCTCCAAGACCTGTGATGTGCTGGTACTCGATGACCTTGCTAAGCTGGTCAGTTCTAGTATCTCCCTGGTTCTGGGACACTCAGAATTAAACTTGTGACAAATGACCAGCACGATTGTAGCAAGCAGATGTCTGGCTGCCAGTTTTGGGGGTGCTGTCACTGTCGCATTGACGGGATGGATCCCTGCAGCTCTCCTCCTCGACTGAGTCATCCTGGCTTTCCCTGGAATGAAGTAACTCCTCTCCCAGCTGGATCTGCTAATCCTCTCTGCCAAGACTAAATGCCAGTTCCTAAAAGGGCTCTGCCTATTATAAATGAACTGCCCTAGCTCATGAAAAGGAGCTGGTGTCACCACAGGCAGCTGAGTGAAGGTCTCTATATAGCAGTGCGTTAAGCAAAAAGCAAACGTGATGTCAGGAGGCATGGGGAACAGAGCGGAAAATATTAGTGCAAGTGGAGGGTGGAGCTTCTTCCGAGAGCATTCGGCAGCGTGGGTACACTGCCTGCCACCGGGTTGGAGAGCAGCAGAGAGATGGACTGGGGCCCAGGCAGCTCAGCCTAGCAGGAGGCAAGCGGTTCCCACTGGAGCTGATGAGAAGGGGTGCAGGATGAGTCCGTGACTGTGGGAGGCTCTGCGGATGGGAGGGTGGGCTACCCGTGTCCTCTCTTGTGGTAAGGGGGAACGCTGTGAAATCTGAAAGCCACAAAGGCCCTGTGGATAAAAGAAAATGCCTTTTCACTTCATATGCTTTTCCACTTCATGTCCAGTTGGTCTGTCAAATGCATTGTTACAGAAAGACTGTCGGACCAAGACTTTTGGTTTCAAAGAGGGACTGGATGTTTATATAGAGCCAGAGCTGTAACAGCTTTAGAAGGAACATTACATTTCCTGCTCCTGGACGTGAGCCAGACTACCTATAAGAGACAAAGATAAAACCGTAAAAGGAACTGGTTATTCTCAAGCTCCTTTTCAGGTTTTTACAGTTTTTCTTTAAAAGAATTGGCACTCTCCATTGTCAGAAAGGAGAGTCTGAACTTTGAAGCTCAGGTCAGATCTCAGTGGGAAACTGCTCCTGAGCCTTGCATCTCTGCTCCCTCCCCACCTCTCCTCCTCCACGAGCGTCCCCCCTACCCTGAAGGGCTTGGATTGCAGTTCTGGTAACCCCAGATACAGTTGCTCCGTTTATTCACTTTCACCTTCGTCTCTAGCTCATAGCTCTACTCGTTCTGTTAGATCTTGGAACCTTTTATTTCACTGTACTTACTGTGTGGCACTCATGGATCTCTTTTTGAGTGGCTGTTTTTTGACACCTTTACCAGGTGTTTGGTACATGACTGCCACTTAGTTAAATCTGAGTGCAGTATCTTAACACAATCCGTGACCCAGGTTACTTCGCAACTAGCCCTCCTTGAACATGCGTTCCTGTGCAGCTCCTCTTTCTGGGCCAGGAAAGGGAACTGGGATCCATTGGCCCATGCATCACTCAAATTCCCCTGCCTCTTGCGTGGGTTTCAGTGCTGCTTCAGTGTGTCTCGCTCACTGGACTGCTTAATTTCTGGTACTGGATTCTCCAAAAGCTAGTGTCTTTGTTCGTTATGTACTGAGATACCTTGCTGGATTCTGGAAGCTTCGGTGCAAGTTTCTAGCTGTGCTCTTCCTCTGTCTCAGGAAGCACCTCTCCTGTCTCAAACTATGGATCTGGGATTGGCTTTTCAGTTTTCACAGCTTTAGAATTAACCTCTTAGAATTTGCTTTGAAAAATAGCTTTTAAAAAAGGGGGGAGAGGGGGGAAGTACCACTGATTTTTCTGCTCTCTGTTCAGCCCTCTGTTTAGTGGGCTCCTAACCATACTGTTAGCCAGGCAGGAGTGTGATGGCTCAGGAATTCTTCCCTCCCTGCAGAGAGCTGCCGAGGAAATGACTACTTGTAAAATTAGTGACCAGCAAACAACTGGACTGAGGAAGCCAAGACAACTTTTAGTCCAGAGCTGGGTGAAAGGTGGAAAAAGATTCTTCCAGAGCAAAGCCAGGCATCTCGTGAGCGGGAACCCTCCTCACTAGCAATAAGAACATAAGAGGTGTCCCCCTGGGTCAGAGCGGTGGTCCCTCTGCTCACTGTCCTACCTCCATCGGGGCCACAGGAGATGGGCTTATGGGAGTGCATGTGAGCCTGGCCGCTCTCTGTGCTCCATCCCCCTTCTATTCTCCCAGTACCCACGGTGGTTAGATTTGTGATGTTAGAGGGACATCCCTCCCCAGTATCCACTGAAGGATCTCTTGTCCACAGATTTGTCTAGTCCTTCTTTTTGACCCTGCTTCCACAGCCTCCTGGGCTGGTGAGCTCCAGAAATTGATTTTCCACTGTATAAACCTTATTTTATGTTTTAAACTGATGTCCTACAAGTTTCACTAAGTACCTCCCAGTTCCGATATAGCAGGATTTGATGAATGACAGTTCTATGCTTAACTTATCCACCACTTGTAAGTCTTGATCGTATCCTCCTTCAGCTGCCTTCTCCTAAACTGAGGAGTCTCAGTCTTTCTCATCTCTCTTACTAAGGCAGCTGCTCCTTCTGTTTAATCAATTAAGTTACCCTTCTCTGTATCTTTTCAAACTCCACTATGTCCTTCTGGAGATACTAGACCTGTACATAGTATTCAAGACGTGGATGTGACAAGTTTTTAGACTGTTAAAGCGATACCCTTCATCTTCTTCTCAGCACCGTTCTTGATGCCCAGCATTTTGTTAGCTTTCTTTGGCTGCTACTGCGTGTTGCACCAATGATTTCAGAAAGCTGTCAACCACAACTCAAAGCTCTTTCTTCAGTTGTAACTGTCAGTTCCGAGTTAAGCATTGTGTGGGCATGCCTTAAATGATTTTTTCCACAGATAAATGTATGCCAAAACATCTATCCTGAAACTTGCTTCCTGTTTTTTTTTGCCCACTCGGGTTTTAAGGTCTCACTTGCTATCAGCCTGACATTGGACTACCCAGAAGAACTTAGTGTCATCCACAAACGTAGAGATTTCTCTGTGGATCTTCTCCCAGTCATTGGTGGAGATACTGAATAACGTATGTCCCAGTGCTGAGCCCTGGGAGGAGGGTTAGAGTAGCTTGTACCACTGAGGCCGAGTTTGTGCTGTGTCTGGCCTCTTGTGTTGAAGTAGGTTTTCACTCTGCTCGTAGTGGTTCTGGGTGCCCGCTCCAGTGTGCGCAGATACTTCTGTATCCTGCACGTTGGTCGGCTTGGCTGGACCTCACAGATGCACATCTCTGAGCACAGCCTGGTATCTTGGAGGCCCTGCCCAGTGCCGTTCTTGGCTCTCCTCCCAAGTTCTCCTTGCTTTCATTACTTAGTAGAGCTCCTTCATCTGCTGTATCCACCTGGCTGTGAAGCAGACCCTCCCTCCCTTTCCTTGGTCATTCCGCCCTGACAGGGAGACTCATTTCCCGAGAGCTTTCCTGAGCTGCGCGCCCATGCAGGGAGCAGACCCCCAGTATCAGGCCTGTTGGGCCTCAGTTCCTCAGGCCTACACTGGCAGACACCTTGCTGTGTTTTTCAGCCAATGATTTTGGGCTGTTCCTTTCGGATGAAGACCCAAAGAAAGGGATCTGGCTGGAAGCCGGGAAGGCTCTGGACTACTACATGCTTCGCAATGGGGTAAGCATCCAGACCCTGTCTTTCTGGCTGGGGCCCTCCTGGCTCTGCAGTCAGACACACGCGCAGTGGCGCAGGTACTATGGACGCCTGCCTTGCGCACCAGCTGCAGTGCCCCATGCAGCCCAGCACCTTGAGCACATTTTTTGCTCGTCTCCCCCTGAGATTGCGCTGGTGATGGAGCGCCGGAGCTGTTGGCTCTATGGCGTGGTGGTGTTAGGTGGTAACACTGGTAACCAGCACTGAGAGGTGTGCTCTGCTGTGCCTCTAGGACACCATGGAGTACAAAAAGAAGCAGCGGCCTCTGAAGATCCGCATGCTGGATGGGACGGTGAAAACGGTCATGGTTGATGACTCCAAAACTGTCACAGACATGCTCATGACAATATGTGCCCGGATTGGTAAGAGGAGGTTGCAGCAACACGAGGGAGAAAGGGAGGTGGCAAGATATGGTATTGTCTCATTAGCGGGTAAGGGGGGTGGCCAAGGCGTGATACGGAGGGGGAAGCAGTGCCAGCTGTGTGGTGAATGGCCTGGTTGCCGGCTGTGCCTGCGAGGGAGGATCTCCAAGCAAGTATTTAAAGCCAGGGAGGGACTGTGCTCTGCTCTTCTCCAGCTTGCTCCAGGCCCTGTGTTTGGCAGCAGTGTTGTGCTGAGCTCAGTCTTCTGTGTTCCTGCAGGCATCACCAACTATGATGAGTACTCGCTTGTTCGGGAGATTATGGAAGAGAAGAAAGAGGAGGTTACTGGCACCCTCAAGAAGGACAAGACCCTGCTACGAGATGAGAAGAAAATGGAGAAGCTCAAGCAGAAGTTGCACACGGATGATGAGTGTATGTGCCTGCAAGTGTTTGGGACAGAGTCAGCCTGCATGAGGAGCAGCTGGGCTGGGAGCTCCGTGGGTGGGAAGGGGAACTGTGCCTCCTGCAAGGGGAAGACCTGAGGCAGGGGCGCAGAGGCAACACCCAGGTGGCAAGGACTGCGGCAGGGGGACAAGCGCTTGCACTCCCTGGAATCTCTCGTTCTGGGAGAGCAGGGGTTCACCAGAACAGCCTCAGTTTCTTGACCTATGTGAGCAATCCTGCCAGATCCCATACCCTGGGCTGAGACCAGCCCTGCCTGGGTGTCCATCCCTGCTCACCTTCTGGCATTGCCTGCAGTGAATTGGCTGGACCACGGCCGGACCCTGCGCGAGCAAGGCATTGACGACAATGAGACACTGCTGCTCCGGCGCAAGTTCTTCTACTCTGACCAGAACGTGGACTCACGAGATCCTGTGCAGCTCAACCTGCTCTATGTGCAGGTACAGCCCTCAGCTTTGCTGTTGTTGCCAAGGCAGCAGTGCCTTGCTCCGCTGCCCTGTGCCAGCCCCCTATGAAGGCTGATGACTGAGGTTCTTGACCAGGAACACCCTAGAGGGGCACCTGAGGGTGCTCAGTTGTCACGTGGGAGAGATTTCTTGGGTAAGAGCCAGCAATGACAATCCCAGCTCTGCCTCCTCCTCAATGCTAAGCTTTCCAAGGATGTCCTACGTTTCCTGTGTGTGATAGGAACCGTCCTGTCCCCAGGCTTGAAGTTCTGCTGCTGTTCTTAGCCCAGGATCAGTGACTACCTTTGCTGTTCCTAAGGGGACTGCCTTGTCTTTGGTCAGTGCCTTTTCTTTCCTATATGGCAACACAGCTTCTAAACACCACATAGGATGTTTCTGAGCTGTTGCTCTGCATCTCTGTTTCAGTATGTGAGACATGATCTCTTCTCATATGTTGTTTTGCTGCAAAGTGTTTCAGCTGCAGGGCAGCAGTGTGCCTCAGTGCAGGCAGTCTGTGGCAGTCCCTCCTGCCTAATGTAAAAGGGAGCAGTGGCAGTTGCTGGGCTGTGTTGCAGGGCTTGCTGTGCCCAGCCCATGTCTATGTCTTCTCTTCCCTCACAGGCTCGTGATGACATCCTTAACGGTTCCCACCCTGTCTCATTTGACAAAGCGTGCGAGTTTGCCGGTTACCAGTGCCAGATCCAATTTGGGCCACACAATGAACAGAAGCACAAACCAGGCTTCTTGGAGTGAGTGTCCCGAGGAGCCCCTGGGCCCTGTCCGGAGGTGGAGCACTCACTTGGGGTTGTGAACACCTTTGGAGCAACCCCTCTCCTCCCTGCAGCACTGTGCCCTCATACACCATGCCAGAGTGCGGAGGTCAACACCAAACGCGAAGGGTGCCAAACCCCAACGCACTCCGTTTAGCACCCACAGGAGTGCCCTGGGACGTGGAGTCAGCTCCAACTTTGGGGAGGGGGGCCAGCCTGAAATGCGGCTTCCTTTATGCTGTGCAAGAGGCTGCATCCTCTGTGTCTCCACCCTGCTCTCTGCAGGGCAGCTCCTGGGGCTAACTGAACATTAAGGCCAGCTGTGCTACTGAGCAGAGAGCATGCTCTGCCAAGACTGTTTTCTTCCCACTCTGGTGGAGAAGCAGACCCTCATGTGGGCCTGGAGAAGGGCTGCCCTCAGCCTGTGAACTGTAAATTGCAGCCCCTGCGGCATCGGCAACCTGGAAAGTGGAGAGGTGGTTCTAAGAATAAGAGGTCTTTTGGGGTCCTGAATTTCCCTTGCTGCAACAACCTCTCCTACATCCTTCCTGTTCCCAAAAACTCTCAGCCTGTGCCTTGGCAGAGTTTTGCCCAAGCCTCCGTGTTGGGCCTATTCATAGGCAAAGACAAGCGCTGGCTTCAGGGCTCTGCTGGTAACAGCTGATTTTGTCTCTTTGCAGACTCAAGGATTTCTTACCCAAGGAATATATCAAGCAGAAAGGGGAGCGCAAGATCTTTATGGTACGTGCAGGGCTGTGTTAAGACCCAAGCTTGTCATTTCTCCTCGCCAGAGGTTCGGGTTTCTCTTGTCCCTGAAAGTAGCACCTCCCAGCCTGGACAGACGAGCAGGTAGCAGTTTAGTAGGTGGGAGATAGGAGTGTGAAGCTGTAGTGGGTAGACATGGTGGCTCCTGAGGTTTGAGAGGGTCAGAAGGATGGTGTAGCTGTAGTGAGGAGGAGGATGTTAGCAGGGCAGGGGTGTCAGTAAGAGTGGAGAGAGCCTGGAAAGGCTGTAACAGGATGATGGTGACAGCAGTGGAGCACAGCTAGGGAGCCACGGAGTTAGTGTGATGTTCTGTCTTTGTTATTACAGGCTCACAAGAACTGCGGGAACATGAGTGAGATCGAAGCCAAAGTTCGCTACGTGAAACTTGCCCGTTCCCTGAAGACCTATGGGGTCTCCTTTTTCCTGGTCAAGGTAGAGCAGCAGGAGCAGCTCCCCAAGCCCCAGCTGGCATGCCTAGCCACGCACCTACCTTCTTTCCAGCATCCCCCTGGCCTCCACCATCTTTCATGTCGCTGTCCATCCATTTCACCTCAACCCACTTCATTCACATCATTGCTCCACCTTTCCTTATGTCCCCACTTAATGCTTGTCCTTCTTTTTGGCTTTTCCTGCGTGCTACCCTCTTGCTTCTTTCTTGACTCATGCTTTTTCTCATTTCCTTTTCAAGACCACGTCACAGGTATCATTACCCAAAAGTATGGGCTTGGGGTGCTTCCTAGTCAAACGTGACCTTAAAGGATAGGCTCTGGAGAGCTGAAGTCTTGGCAGGGCTATGCTGAGTGTCAGCCCTGGGGCAATCTGTAACCCTTTTGTCATGGCACGCAGGAGAAGATGAAGGGGAAGAACAAGCTGGTGCCGCGGCTGCTGGGGATCACCAAGGAGTGTGTAATGCGTGTAGATGAGAAAACCAAGGAAGTGATTCAGGAGTGGAGTCTGACCAACATCAAGCGGTGGGCAGCCTCGCCCAAGAGCTTCACCTTGGTAAGGGTCTGCCCCAATCCTACTCCACTGCCTCACTGCTCTGGCAGTGCTGCTGCCACCAGGACCTTCTGACCTCTTCTGTGTTGACTGCAGAATAGCCTCAACCACTGCCATGCTAGCCTCTGTCATGAATATTTCCCTTCTGTGGGACTCCCTTGCCCTTCTCCAGCTGCCTCTCTCAGTCATGGAGAACAGGGAATTGTGGAGGTGCAGAGCCACACTTCTGGCACAGAGACTAGTCCTGGGTGCTTAGCACATACCAGAGGGGCTCAGGATGGCAGTCCCTGCCCCGCTGTGGTGCTACCCAGTGCTATGCTGTTGCAGGATTTTGGAGATTACCAGGATGGTTACTACTCGGTGCAGACAACAGAGGGGGAGCAGATTGCCCAGCTGATTGCTGGCTACATCGACATCATCCTGAAAAAGGTAGGTACCTATGTGGGTTGGGAGAGGGAGCCGAGTGCCTGTAGCCAGCTCCTTACCTGAAGGAGGTGCAGGATGCCCCCTCAGGCTGCAGCTGGAGAGCTGTTGGCACACAGCCGTGTTGGAAGAGGCTGGAGACAGGCACTTGGGGGAGTCCCATGGGCCTGGTACAGTACCCTAGTCTGGGCTACTAGAATTGGGGGAGTCTGGGAGGTGTATGCTGGCTGACACACTTTCTCTTTCCTCCACAGAAAAAGAGCAAAGACCACTTTGGGCTGGAGGGGGATGAGGAGTCCACCATGCTGGAAGACTCTGTGTCCCCTAAGAAGTAAGTCCATTGGAGCAAGTTAGATACTAAGCAGAAGTTGAACTGACAGCATGCTCCAGCCAAACTTGTCATGCTGCACCATCTGCAGGGAGAGCTGCCACTCCTTTAGCTGCAGCTTTCCCGGAAAGGTTGGGGAAAGGTCCATAGGGATCCTTTTACACTAAGAGCTTGGCCTTGTCCATGAAGTTCTGGGTGCAGACAAGGTGCTTGCCCAGGGAGAGGTTCCTACTCTTCTGTAGAAGTACGGCCCAAGCGTTCCCAGCCATAGCTAGTATTTCTTTCCTTTGCAGATCGACTGTCTTACAGCAGCAATTTAACCGTGTGGGCAAGGCAGAGCTGGGTTCAGTGGCCCTGCCAGCCATCATGCGGACAGGGGCTGGAGGGCCAGAAAACTTCCAAGTGGGCACGATGCCGCAGGCCCAACTGCAAATCACCAGTGGCCAGATGCACCGAGGGCACATGCCTCCCCTGGTAAGGTCTCCCTATGCCCACTGCAGAGCGAGAACGCTGAGATGTGGCCATTGAGCTGGTGCAGCCCCAGCCATCTAGCCAGACGTTAGCCTGCCCTGAAAAGCAGGGGCCCTGGTTGGTCCCGTGTGCTTGCTAGCCTTGCTGGCTTAGTGTGCACCCACATCCAATCCACAAACTTTGTGTCCGTCCCCCTCTGAGATTCCCCACAGTCCCCAGGAACATATGCTGCAGTTCTCTATGTGAGATCCATCCAGAGGTCTCCACCCTAGTATTTTCCCCTGGCTGGCTGTCACAGGGTCTTTCCTTCCAGTCCTCAGGCTGAGCACTGCTCTTAGCTGCTGGTCCCAGCCAACTACACTGATGCTGTGGTTTGCAGCAGAGCCCTGCTGCTACTGGAGTTGGTGCCTTCCCCTGCCTCCTTCTCTGCAGCCAAAGATGCATTTGAGAAGGGCCAAGAGGGAGCCCTATTTTCTCTGGCACACAGAGAAACCCTAGACACAGCAGGGTTTGCTGGAAGGCCTTGTGAGGTCTTCCTCCATTTGCTGCAGTGTCCCTGCTCCCAGAAAGCTCATGAACTACAGGATTCACTAGTACCTGCCCTTGGCAGCCAGCTTGCTGCAGTAGAACAGGGCATTCCCAGGTGGGAGATGCAGAGGGGGAAATCCCTGTGCTCCTGGTTGCCCCCTCTTTTTGCGGAGGTGCCTACTTAGAGCCCTTTCCTTGACAGCCTGTTCCTACCACCTTCTGCTGGGGCAAGTGAGCTGAATATCTGAGCCTGGACTTTGAGCCTCCGCTGTACCTCAGTCTGTCCTTGTGTTACAGACTTCAGCCCAGCAGGCCCTGACTGGCACCATCAACTCCAGCATGCAGGCCGTACACGCAGCCCGGGCCACTCTGGATGACTTCGAGACCTTGCCGCCTCTTGGGCAGGATGCTGTGAGTGCCTAGTGAAGAGGGGGTACTGGCTTATTTGGGTTGAAGGGAACCTCCTTGGAAAGGGGTTGGTTGCAGGTCAGGCTGAATGTGGCTGGCTGCTTTCCCAGGAGAGGATTTCAGTAATTCCAGGAAGTTCTGCTCTCTACAAAAAGGTCAAGTTGTGTCCAGCTCTAGGGGCAGGAGCAGAAAGGATGCTTCATTTCTCGGCAATTTTCCTACCTCTCTCTTCTGCACTTTTGGCTTTAGAATGAGAATGAGGAGTCTTGGATGGTAACAGTTCTTCCTTGTCTCCTCTCTCCTGCAACCCACTGTGTGAGCACGTGCACGGTTCCCCACCACCACCAGGCAGGGCTGACCCTGCTCCTGCTCTCCCTCTTTCAGGCTTCCAAAGCTTGGCGCAAAAACAAGATGGATGAGTCAAAGCATGAGATTCATTCCCAAGTGGATGCTATCACTGCTGGCACAGCCTCAGTGGTCAACCTAACTGCAGGTAAGTGGAGGACTGGGCAACTTGGATGCCCTCTCTGTGGGGAAGGCTTGGTCTCATCTGGCCTTTGGCTGGAGTCAAGGCTCCTGTCCTTCCTCAGGGTCTGGACAGAGCCAGCCCGGCCCAGCCGGGGCTAACTGAACCCAGACTGCTGCTAACGTGCTTGTAGAACGAGCCGTGCTCCCACAGCTCCCGCTGCCTTGAGACCCCCCCCTCTACCCCTGTCAGTGCCCAGACTGCTCCCATTCCTTTCTCTGTCTTGGCTGATCTGACATCCCCTGTACCACAAGCATGTTGTCCAGTCCCCGCCATAGCCGTGGTGACTGCCACGGCGTGCTGCAGCTCTCCTTCCCCATGTTGTGAGTTCTGGTGTTGTCCCAAACCAGCTTCAGGCCTGATGTGTCCACCCTTGAGGTCTCGGAGCCGGGGGTTTCCTTCCTCCACTCTCAAGAAGGAGAATCACGTCAGTTACAGGTCCAGGGATGTTCTTGGAGTGTCACTGAAGCGTCCTTACTCCACAGCTCCTGTTTCCTCCCTATGCAGGTGATCCAGCAGATACGGACTACACAGCTGTAGGCTGTGCTGTCACCACTATATCTTCTAACCTGACGGAGATGTCCAAGGGTGTGAAACTGCTGGCTGCCCTCATGGAGGATGAGGGAGGGAATGGACGGCAGCTTCTGCAGGCAGCCAAGAACCTGGCAAGCGCCGTCTCGGACTTGCTGAAAACTGCACAGCCAGCCAGTGCTGAGGTGTGAGGGGAGCAGGAGGGGTTGTGGGAGATATGGGGCTGAGGAGGCAGGTTGGAGGGAAGCATGGGTTGAGGTAGGGTGGATTGAAGCAAAGGGGAACAGCAGAGTGAGCTTGCAGCTTGCCCAAAAGCCTGACTGATTTTTGCCTCTTTCCTTGCAGCCCCGCCAGAATCTCCTGCAGGCTGCCGGCCTTGTGGGCCAGACAAGTGGAGAACTGCTACAGCAAATTGGAGAAAGTGATACTGATCCTCGCTTCCAGGTGAGTGATGAGGCTCTGGCTGTACCCGGAGACACATACTCAATAAAACCATCTGCCTTTGCACAGGATCGTCCCTTCGGACCTTTTCCGGCAGGAGGGGTCCATGCTACAGCTTGGCCTGTGCGTGGTGACTTTGCCAGGGGAAGGGACAGGCCATTTCCCGTCTCTGTAGTTAGACCCACTGTCGAGTAATGCCTCTTATCTTGTGGATTCCTGTGTAGATCCCAGAAAGCCGACGTGCTTGGATCCTGCCCACCTCTGACCCAAAGACGGTAAAAAGCAGCTGTAGGCATGGCTTGGTGGTTTCTGCCCCTCTCTGATGTAAGGGCTGCTCCTTTGGGAACAATCAGCTGAATTCTTTGGGGACGGGCACTTGTCAAAAATCTCCTTTTCTTGTGATTGACTCTCGGAAGTTCATGCACTCGGGTCGCTGTTCCAGTGAGCTCCACCGTGGTAGTCCCCGCCTTGCAGCAGCCTCTCGGCTTCCTCCTGCCAGTGTTTGTGAGGCTGCCTGTGCGTCCAGATCAGGAAGCCGAACTGGCTGAAACCTCATGGTTTTTTGCTGAGTTGGAACCAGCTGGATTGGTTTCCTGTTGGCTGCTGGTTCCACTACAAGGGAGGTAACAGAGCATGCTAGGGAGGGTGATCTAACCATAATATGGATTGCAACAGACTCCTGAACTCAGAGGTGTCTTTATAGCATGGCTACACGGCCTGGATATGAGCAAAAATTCCTAGACAGAGAGCGAAAGAGAAGAGAAAAGCTAGCAGTAATGAAGGAACAAATCAGAGGAAGACAAGTACAGCCAGGGGAAAGTGAGGAGCAGGAGCTGATATGGGGGAGTGCTAGGACAGAGGCAGCCCGAGAGAGACTGGAAAAGCAGCTCTAGCCTGTCTCTGCCCCTTGCAGATCCCTTGCTGCAGGTCTGGCATCCCAATTCTCTCATTCAACCAGTGGACGATAACAGGGCCAAGTGACGGATTTAGGAACTGAACCGTAATTTGTAAATGTGCAAGGCACTCTGCCCCTCAGCTACAAGACCCAAGTGTATGTACTTCCTTCCTCTGTGCTGTTCTGTTGGGATTGCTTCTTTTCCATCATGAACAGTTGCTGTGGTTTGGGGGCCTGGGAACTCTTGAGCTTGGTGCATGTGCTGCCCAGACTATCATTGCATCTAGAACGGTGATGGATTGCAACAGAAATAGTCTTTGCTTGCAAGAGGCAAGGGGAAAAAGGAGGAAATCCAAGTGGGGGATGATCTGAAATATTTGTGGGTTGGTGTCAGGAGGCTTAGCTGTAGCAGGGCGCGGGTATGCTGTCTGCACGCGTGTACTTGAATAGAGGATTCAGGCTGCACAGTTTAGCTGCAGTCTGCAGTGGATTGTGCCTGCAGCAGCAGGCAGGGAGCTCCGTCCTGTATATGGACATCGTGACACGTCGTGTCAAGGTCTTTGACCAGTGTGCAGTGCAGAGCAGTGTCTCAAGTGGGGCAAGCCCTTGCTGCCGAGTTCTGGTGTTTCTGATGGAAACCAGCACTGTGGTGTTGGGGCTAATTCTGAGCGCTGTGTCGTGCTGTGAGGTCTGGTGTCCTTGCTAGGAGGTAGTTTGCTGTGTGTGCTGATCAGTGCCTGTTGTGTGCTAGCAGGGCAGTTCTGTGTCTCCCCTACAGCCTTTGGAAGTAGAGACGTGTCACTATACAATGCCCCTCTTTTAGCCCTGGGAACAGCAACAGAGATGTAGCCCAAAGCTGAAGAGCAGATGGTTGTCTGCAGGACGTGCCTGTCGGATAATTGCCGATGTCCCCAGGGTTCAACTGACCAGTGTGGGCATCTCCTGATTGCCTGCTGTGGGCGGGCAGTGCCATAGGATGGTGCTGAGGGCTGCTCACTGTGTGACTGCACCCGTAGCTGCGTTTTGCCTGCAGTTTGGCCAGAGCCAAGTGTTTCTGGGATGCGAAGCCTGGTGGTGCTGATGGTGTCTTGCAGCAGGTTCCTCCTGCAGTGCGGTCAGGGATTTGATGCAGGTCGTTGCCTGTGGAGCGGACAGCATCCGAGTCCTGGGTGTTGTGGGTGATGCTGAGCGTTACCCAAGCCGCTCTTGGTGGCGTATGCGGTCAGGGCAGTGTCCTGGTGCGGGGAGCTGCCGCAGTGCGGACTGCAGCTTGAGGCAGGGTTACTGTCTCGCTGCCGGCTGTTGCACACAAGAGGGGTGGCACTGTGATGTTGCCAGCCACACAAGCCACTCCAGGTGTTCGGTGCTGCCAGTGCTGGGCTGGGGTGGATGAAAGGCCCCCTGAGCTCATGTTTCCGTGCTGAATATTTCACGAGAGCCGTGTGAGTAGCTGGTGCACATCTCCCATCCTGGTTCCTGTGCTGACATTCTCCATCCCCCCCTGCAGGATATGCTCATGCAGCTGGCAAAGGCCGTGGCCAGTGCTGCTGCCGCCCTAGTGCTGAAAGCCAAGAACGTGGCTCAGAAAACGGAGGACTCGGTGCTGCAAACGCAGGTGATTGCAGCTGCCACGCAGTGTGCCCTCTCCACCTCCCAGCTCGTGGCCTGCACCAAGGTAAGAAATCACTCTGGAGGTGAGCAGCATTAACCCTTGATTCAACATGGGCTGCTAGCACTGCCTGAGAGGTGGCAGCTCCAGCCTGTACCACCCTGTGAGAGGGACTCTGAGTGGTTGTTTACTCTAGGGAAGTTGGGTCATAGGTATGCCAGGACCAACGCCTCATCCTCTCAAGCTGGAAGTTAGGGGTGTGGGGCCAGAAGTTTCAGCTACCTTTGGCCAAGCATGCCTGGAGTAGCTGTCGCTGTGCCCAAACGCTGAATATGCTTTCAGGGAAGCAGGGGCTGGGGATAGTAGTCATCTGTGTTGTAGGCCGTCTCTGTTCTGCTTGGTGGAGAACGGGAGCTCTGTAGTGCCAGAGCCATGCTCACTGCCCAGCCCTTCTCCTCTCCTCCAGGTAGTGGCTCCCACAATCAGCTCCCCGGTCTGCCAGGAGCAGCTAATTGAGGCTGGCAAGCTGGTGGCCAAATCGGCGGAGGGCTGCGTGGAGGCCTCCAAGGCAGCCACCAGTGATGACCAGCTCCTGAAGCAGGTGGGGGTGGCAGCCACAGCTGTCACCCAGGCCCTGAACGACTTGCTGCAGCACATCAAGCAGCACGCCACGGGTGGGCAGCCCATTGGGCGCTACGACCAGGCCACCGACACCATCCTCAACGTCACTGAGAACATATTCAGCTCCATGGGCGATGCAGGTGAGAGCAACTAATCACACCTGGGGTAGGACATAGAGAACAGGGCAGAGTGGGCTGAAAAAAGCACAGGTAAGTGGGCTTTCCCTCTCTAGGGTCATGCCTTGATGCAACTGCTGTGTGTTCACTGGGCAGCTTGCCTGCGCCTTCCTGCAGTCTCATGTTCATGGCCCTGCTGTGGCTGGGTCTGCATCAAGCCTACTAAGGATGGGAGACAGTGTATGCAGAGCCTACAGTAGACAGAGGTCAAGGAGTCACATGGCCATTGCTGGAGCCCCTGGGACTTGTTGACAAGCTGCCTTTCCTCCCTTTCCCAGGGGAAATGGTGCGGCAGGCTCGTATTCTGGCCCAAGCAACATCTGACCTCGTGAACGCCATCAAAGCCGATGCAGAGGGAGAGACGGACCTGGAGAACTCGCGCAAGCTGCTGAGTGCAGCCAAGATTCTGGCTGATGCAACTGCCAAGATGGTGGAGGCTGCAAAGGTTTGTTGTGCACGGGCTGGAAGCAGCAGGAGGAGCTGCTGGCAGATGGGTGCTTTCTTTGGCAGCCCAGATGACTCCTGGCCTGCTCAGTGACCGCCATCAGCAGCAGCAGCACAGCATGGACCTCAGCTCCCCAGCAGTCCCTGCTTGGGGAAGTAGATCCCAGATAGGGGCTGGGACTTGATGGCCAAGGCTTTCCCCTCTGCTCAGGGTGCTGCAAGAGCAATGAGGCTGGAGGGGAGGGGGTAGGTTTCGAGTGCTCCTCTGCTCTCCAGAGCAAGGCCCTGCACTGAACTGAAGACCTGTGCAATGAATTGGGGCTCTCTCCTGAAGGTACAGATGGTAACTGAAGAGCAGCATTGTTAATTCTCGCACTGCTGAGCACTTCAGGGGAGACTTCTGGCACCTCAGCATCTCCTTTTGCTCAGCCATGGTGCTCTAGAGAGCCAAACTGCTGGGGACACAACCCAGTGTCAGGGCAGAGGACAGCAGCTGCTCTCAGAGGATAAGGGACCTGGTGGGTACTATGAGGTTTGATGGCTTTCCTGTTTTGTCCAGGGAGCTGCAGCCCACCCAGACAGTGAGGAACAGCAGCAGCGGTTGCGTGAGGCAGCTGAGGGGCTCCGCATGGCAACGAATGCTGCAGCTCAGAACGCCATTAAGAAAAAGCTTGTGCACAAGCTGGAGGTGAGATGCCCAGCTGAGGTTTGGGCAGGGGGCTGCTGGAACGAGGGGAGGCACAGTGAGCAAGTGAGACCTGGCATTAGGTCTGTGATCCCTGCACTTTTTGAAGAGATGAAGCTACTTTTGTGTAGTTATGAGTGTCCAAAGTGGTCCCCAAAGAGACCTCTCCGTTGCTCCCTACTCTGTCATCTTCCTTCCTGGTCTCTGACCAGATTTCTCCCTTCTTCTGAGCAAACTGCATTCCTTTGGGATGTCAGACTAATCCCCTGCCTCAAAAGTGCTGGTGATGCTAAGTCGTTGCAGGTAGAGGTGCAGCAGGAGAAGCTTAGTAGGAGCTGGGGTGGGGAGCTGGGTCCCCACGCTGTGGCAGGAGGGGTTACTGGGCCAGGGTTTCAGGACAGACTGGCCTGCAGCCTGTGTAGTTGGCCACTCTGATGCTAAGCTACGTCTTCCCCTCCCAGCACGCAGCCAAGCAGGCTGCAGCATCTGCCACCCAGACCATCGCTGCCGCGCAGCATGCAGCTTCATCCAACAAGAACCCAGCAGCACAGCAGCAGCTGGTGCAGAGCTGCAAGGTAAGGAGCATATTGTCCCAACGCCCCTGTGCTGCGCGGGGCCAGGCTGTGACCGTAATGTCTTCCTCGGCTCCAGCGCTCTCCGGTGGCCGAGGCTATGCCACCTGCTCTCATTCTCTCTCTGATCAACCATGTCACGGGACAACTGAGCCAGCTACCCACTGCCTCTGCTTTGTGCACAGCCGTAGCAGGCTGGGTGCACAAGAGACAGCTTGTACCTTAGAGTCCTCAAATTCTGCCTTAGGAATAGCTAATGTGCATTTTTTAGTTACTGTTCCCCTTCTTGGAAAACCTATCTGCAAAAGTATGAATGTTGCACCAGTGCCCTAAAAGCAGACAGCCCTCAGTTCTGGGCAAGATGATGGAAAAGCTGATTTGAGACTGTCGTGATGTTCTCATCTTTTAACATGTTAATGCTGAGCAACCTTATATTAAGAAAAAATGATTCTGTCAAAATCGGTGTGAGGTTTTTTGTATTAATGGGGTAACTTTTTTATAAGATTGCAAGACGGATTGATAGATCTTTAAAAGCTTTTAAACTTGACTTTACACAACGCTAAGACTTTGCTCAAGATGTTGCGTTGTATTATATCAGTAGATTATGGGCTAAATGGGTTAGGAGCTGGTAAAGCACAGATCTCAGTTGCTGTTGGAGAAGAGGGCCTTGGAGGTGGTGTTTGTAATGAGGTTCTGCAGGGACTAGGTTTATGTCCAACTGATTTTTTTTGATCAATGATCTGGGAATACACACAGTCACTGGCAGTCAGATGTGCAGGTGGCAAGGCCCGAGAGAGCTGCAGGCAGTGAGCAGAGCAGGGCATGCATACAGAGCAGTCTGAATGAGCCACTAAGCTGGACCAGCTGGAGGGTCCTGTGTGTGCTTCATGTCTCCCCATGGCTGGGCCTCTCCAGTGACTCTCCCCTCTGGTCACAGGTTGTGGCAGATCAGATCCCAATGCTGGTACAAGGTGTACGAGGAAGCCAATCCCAGCCGGACAGCCCCAGCGCCCAGCTGGCTCTCATTGCTGCCAGCCAGAACTTCCTGCAGGTATCTATACTCTGCTGTATCTTCTCTCTGTCAGGAGCCTCCTACAGGGGCTCTGGCTCTTGCATCCATTAAAAATTGTGTATTGTGCTGTCTGTCCCTCTAAGATGCTGGGAAGCCTACTGGACATGGGCAAGGAAGAGATAGTGCACGTTATCCTATTCTCACGGCTTTTTCTTTGGACTTGCAGCCAGGTGGGAAGATGGTTGCTGCAGCCAAGGCCACTGTCCCCACCATTACAGACCAGGCCTCTGCTATGCAGCTCAGCCAGTGTGCCAAGAACTTGGCTGCAGCTCTTGCCGAGCTCCGCACAGCCGCGCAGAAGGTAAGAGAATTGTTTCCGTCCAGCTGCAAGGCCTCAGTTGTACTAAGCAGGAGGGGCTAGCAGAGAGATGGGGATGGCCCTGTTGCAAGGTGAGCTCCTGAAAGACCAAGGTGCACGCAGCTGTTGCCTTGCTGATTTTTCCTTCTTCCTATTGCAGGCTCAGGAGGCTTGTGGGCCCCTAGAAATAGACTCTGCGCTGGGCCTTGTGCAGAGCCTGGAGAGGGACTTACAGGAAGCCAAGGCCGCTGCAAGGGATGGCAAACTCAAGCCTCTGCCAGGAGAAACGGTAAGGGCTCTGAGAGGTGGCTCAGGCAGGGAATGGGTCTGGGTGAGCAAGCAGGAACAGCAGGCAGCAGCACTGGATGGGAGCAGTATGTTGGGGAGGAGTGGGTGCTGTGGCTGAGGTGGGTGAAGGGAGAGTGGGAGATGCATGGGTAGAGGCTGGAGGTGTAGCCTGTGAACGCATTCTCACTGATCATCCTGCAGATGGAGAAGTGTGCCCAGGACCTGGGGAACAGCACAAAAGCTGTCAGCTCTGCTATCGCTCACCTCCTTGGAGAGGTGGCCCAGGGCAACGAGAACTACACAGGTACCACGCTCCAGGAGTAAGCTGGGGGATAGGCAAGGGCTACACCTTCGTTTTGTGTGTGGATCTCACCCCTTGGTAAAGATCACTTGTACTCGAGGCAGCTGCCCCTGAACAGTGGACACAGACCAGATGGCTCCAGGCAAATGAGGAGCCAAGCGGGACGCTTGGGGTCCATGGGAGCGATTTTTGACTGGGGCAGAAGGGAAGATTTGGAAGTGCTGGGAGGAACAGCACAGTCTCTTGACCTGAACAAGGCAGGGTATATTGGAGGTAGGGGTGCATTCTTGAGGGAGAACGTGGCATAGGTCTTGTCACTTCTGCTTAGCCTCGATCACTGACTTACCTCTCTCCTCACAGGAATTGCTGCCCGAGAGGTGGCCCAGGCCCTGCGCTCACTCAGCCAGGCTGCCCGTGGCATTGCAGCCAACACGTCGGACCCTCAGGCACAGAGTGCCATGCTGGAGTGCGCTGGTGACGTTATGGATAAAGCAAACAACCTCATTGAGGAAGCACGAAAGGCAGTGGCCAAGCCTGGTGACCCAGAGAGCCAGCAGCGTCTGGCCCAGGTGAGAACTGGGCCTCAACACCTTCAAGAAGTCCTTGGCCCATTGCTGAGGCCAGGGAAGGATGCAGGGCTGTTGGCACTCGCAGTGCCTGAGTCCTGGTGCCTGCAGCAGTGCTGCAGTATAGCACCGCTGGAGGAGATGTGCATGAGATGGTGACTGTTCTTGCTCTCCACAGGTAGCCAAGGCAGTGTCTCAGGCCCTGAATCGCTGTGTGAACTGCCTCCCAGGACAGCGGGATGTGGACGCTGCCATCCGTACAGTGGGCGAGGCCAGCAAGAGGCTGCTAGCAGATTCGGTGAGTTTAGCCTGGCCAGGGTGAGATGGGCAAGCTTTGCAGTGGAGACATGAGCTAATCCATCCATGCTGGATTTCTCTCTCCAGCATGTCCTCAAGTAGGCTTTCTGTCAGGAGGGTGTTGATTTCAGGGATACACTAGCGTCTCCAGTGGTGTCAGCTTTATCCAGGACACAGTGGGCTTTGTCAGGACTCTCCCAGCAGCAGCCTGCCAACAGCTGTCTGCTACCTGCTTGTGCTGCGGATCCTTGCTCCTGGAGAGCAGAGCAGCTGCTCTGGGGTTTTCTGGCCACAGACAGCGTGTACTTCAGATGCTAGATTTTCATCGTCCATCTCTGACTTCGTCCTGGTCTTTCTACTGCTCCTAACCTCTCTCTCTCTGCCTCCAGTTCCCACCCAGCACCAAGAGCTTCCAGGAGGCACAGAGCCAACTGAATCAAGCAGCAGCAGGACTCAACCAGTCTGCCAACGAGTTGGTACAGGCATCGCGTGGCACCCCTCAAGACTTGGCCAAGTCCTCTGGCAAATTTGGACAAGACTTCAATGAGTTCTTGCAGGCTGGAGTGGAGATGGCCAGCCTGTCCCCGGTGAGAGCAAATTCCTGTTGTTTGTGACACATTGTGAATTGCCATATCAGGGGAGACCTTTGGGTGCCCAGGAAGGTGTTTGACCATGGGCAGAGTAGCCAGGGGATCAGTGGCTAGAGGAGTGCCATGAGGGGCTGCAGCTAAAGTAGCTGGTGAGATGGGGTCTGGGGATGGGCTAAGCTGCAGTAACAGGGGAAGAAGCGGCTTGGGTTGTTTCAGCAAATGTTAACTCGTAGTAGCAAGGATACAGCAGCAGGCAGACCAGCTGGGTTAAGGGAATAGGCTTAGCCCAGAAACCACTGGAGACTGGGGGTCAGGCTGCCGGAGGACGCAGGGTGGAGGCTGGGTGTGCATGGAACTTAGAAACCTGTAGGTGACTCTTCTTGGCTCCTTCTAGACTAAGGAAGACCAGGCGCAGGTGGTGTCAAACTTGAAGAGCATCTCCATGTCCTCCAGCAAGCTATTGTTGGCTGCAAAGGCGCTTTCCGCTGACCCCACAGCCCCTAACCTCAAGAATCAGCTAGCAGCAGCTGCACGGTAGGAAGACCCCTTTCCTGTACGTAAAGGGAGATGGGCAAGTGCCAAGGGCTTGTTCCGAGCCTGCAGCAGTGGGAGGCCGAGTCTAGACCTGGTGCTTGCCTCCATGAGGCTCAACTTGCTGTGGAGCTCTCCTGAGACCGCTTGTCTACTGTAATCCTGACGTGGCTGCTCTATGGCAGTCTGTCAAAAGTAGTAGACCCTGAAGGAGGTAGGAATGTCCCTCAGCCAGAGCCTCTGCCTGTTTCCTGCAGCCAGGACATCCCCCATGGCCAAGTCAATAAGCTCTTTGCGGTAGCAGTGGGTCTGGGTGGTGGAGCCGGCATTAATCCGTGGTTGTCTCTCCCCTGTTCTGGCAGGGCCGTGACTGACAGCATTAACCAGCTGATCACAATGTGCACCCAGCAGGCACCAGGCCAGAAGGAATGTGACAACGCCCTGAGGGAGCTGGAGGTGAGAAGAACCTAGAAGCATCTTGCTGAGACAACGGAGGGGCTCAGTGGCCAGGGGTTCCCCTTCTGTGTGGGCTTGACTGGGTCAGCATGAGGCGGGCTGGCGGCATCAGATGCTGAGATCGCTGGGGTGAGGAGAGGGGCGGTTACGCTGTGTTGTGGCGGGAAGAACGGAAGAAGAGATGCAAGGCACTGCATATGCCAGCTGTGGGAGGTGGAGAGCACAGACCCTGCCACAGTGAACGCATGTTCCTTGATCTGATGCCTGTGTCCCTGCAGACTGTGAAGGAGCTGTTGGAGAACCCCACCCAGACTGTCAATGACATGTCCTACTTCAACTGCCTCGACAGTGTCATGGAGAACTCCAAGGTGAGCCCTGAGCCAGGAGTGGGCCTGGGGGCAGAGGTTTGGGAGCAGGTGAGGGTGGAGAGGTTTGGGAGGAGTGGAAGCAAAGGTGACAAAGGGAAGAGTGCTGCCTCACCTGATCCTTTTTCCTTAAGGATACAAATACGTTGTTTATGAAGCATAGCGAGCTCTGAGCCTGGGAGCACTGTACAGGAGTGGGATGTAGTCACTCAACTGGTGATTGGTGTCTCCCGTAGGTGCTAGGCGAGTCCATGGCTGGGATTTCCCAGAATGCCAAGAACAGCAAACTACCCGAGTTCGGAGAGTCCATCAGTGCTGCCTCCAAAGCTCTCTGTGGCCTCACAGAGGCAGCAGCCCAGGTGAGATGTGCTCAGTCCCAGCCTCTTGTGTTACACCTAGGGCTGAATTTCCACAGAGATCCCCTCTAAGCTTGGTCCCTTGGTGCTGTAATCAGGGACACCTCTCCGTGCCCCCCGCCTCCACACCCCATGCCTGCTCTATGACTCTAGTTGCCTCTCCCAGTGTGGGCGTGTTCTTATACCTTCTCTCATGCTCCCAGGCTGCCTACCTTGTGGGTGTTTCAGATCCCAACAGTCAGGCTGGACAGCAAGGCTTGGTAGACCCCACTCAGTTTGCCAGAGCTAACCAAGCCATCCAGATGGCCTGTCAGAACCTGGTGGACCCTGCCTGCACACAGTCCCAGGTGAGTACAAGATGGGGCACCATCCTGGACATTTTATTGGATAAAAGGGAATGAGAGGCTAGCTGGAAGAGCTGGGTCCAAAGAGTTGGCCAAGGTTGTGGCTAGCGTCTCATCAGGCCTCATCAGCTGTACTGGGAACCAACTGGCAGCTTTGCCAAAACAGTAACAGTCCAGACGAGGGGCTTATGGGCGTGCAGGACCTTGGTGATCCTTCTCGGGAGGAACAGGCTGAGGGTTGGTGTTCCCCTGCTGTGCCGTCCTCTGTGCGCCATGGTGCCCCATGTGGGCTTGGAGCTGGTAGGAAGGGAGAGTTGCAGGGGTGAGGAGATGCTGGGGTCCTGCCTCACTCTGCCTTTCTCCACAGGTGCTATCAGCAGCCACCATCGTGGCTAAACACACCTCAGCCCTATGCAACACATGCCGGCTGGCCTCCTCCCGCACTGCCAACCCTGTTGCCAAGCGCCAGTTTGTCCAGTCAGCCAAGGAGGTGGCCAACAGCACAGCCAACTTGGTGAAGACTATCAAGGTATAGTCTCCCTGTCGAGGTACGGTGGGTGGCCCTGCAGAGGTGGGCAGGGTATAGGCAGCGGCTGGGTGGGGATTTGGGGCAAGGTCAGGTTTAGGTAACTGCCTGGTTTCTCCTGTGTGCCAGGCCCTGGATGGTGCATTCAACGAGGAGAACCGGGAGCGGTGCCGTGCAGCCACAGCCCCTCTCATAGAGGCTGTGGATAACCTGACAGCCTTCGCCTCCAACCCAGAGTTTGCCACTGTTCCTGCCCAGATCAGCCCTGAGGTGAGATCGTGCAGGGGCAAGGAGGGGATGGTCAGGCTGGGATGGGAACTGCTGTAGGATGGGGAGGAGCTGTACTCTGCAGTGCGAGTCACTGGTGAGCTTGGGATGGGGCCCTAGCACAGAGCTGGCGCCTGAAGGGGAGGCGATGAGGAGGCAGTAGAGAGCCCTGGGCTTCAAAGGGCTGCACCTGGGCCTGGACTGCAGGAGAGGGGGTAATGTCCCTCACACAGGCCCTCGCACGCCTGTCCATCTGGGTGACTGGGCCATTGTCTCCCTGCGCAGGGACGCAGAGCCATGGAGCCCATCGTCTCTTCTGCCAAGACCATGCTGGAGAGCTCTGCCGGCCTCATTCAGACTGCTCGCTCTCTAGCCGTCAATCCCAAGGACCCACCCCAGTGGTCGGTGCTGGCTGGCCACTCTCGCACTGTCTCTGACTCCATCAAGAAGCTGATCACCAACATGAGGTGAGTGTGGGATGTGCTGTGCCGGGTCATCTCACTGCAGCCTGAACCCTCAGCTGTGGCTCTGTTTTCACTGATGAGTACCCTTGTTTGGGGATGCTCTGAGTGAGCACGCCTGGGACATTTTGGCTCATTTTCGTCCTGTTCTTCTCGACCACTGCCTGGGGAAGGCAAGGGATGGAAAGGAAGTTGCAGTCCTTTGTGTACCGCCCCAGAGCTGGCGTTGTAACCTTGCAGCGTTAAGATAGGTTGATTGTGGGGGACGATGCCCGTGTCCTGGCCCGGTGGGGTTATGGTACCTGGCTTGAATTCTAGGCTGCCCAAGGCTAAGGAGAGGGGTCCTGCCCCTTGCTGGCACCAGCCAAAGCTGGCAGTGCGGGGGGTGGCGTAGCACCTGCCAGCACCAGGCACGGCTTGTGTGGTACTGACCCATCTGTCACACAGGGACAAAGCTCCTGGACAGAGGGAGTGTGACGAGGCCATCGAGGTCCTGAACAGGTGCATGCGGGAGGTGGACCAGGCTTCCCTTGCTGCCATTAGCCAGCAGCTGGCCCCCCGAGAAGATATTTCCCAGGAGGTGAGTAGGGGGCATGCTACTCCAAAGCCTTCCCAGCCTCAGCATGCCTGTCTCGTGCAAGTGGGAAGTGCCTAACACCCAGCATGTGTTCCCAGAGTCCCTGCTGGCTTCCTCTGCTTTCACGCGGGGCTTCTTTACTGGCAGATCCCCGTGTTGCAGGGATCCATCCAAATACAGGGCAAGACAGGCAGGCTTGTTTCAAACTCTCCCTTGTGGGCCAAGCACCGCCTTGGAAAGGGAAGCTCTGCCTTGCCACCACCAGTTACAGCTCTTGCCATCACATCCCCTTTCTGGGATGAGCTGTCCCTCTCAACTGCGCGACATGCTGCTAGCACCCTCCACGGTCTGCTCTGGAGCCCTGGGACTAGCTCTTCTCCCAAGCTCAGGCCAGTTAACCCTGGAAGGAGTGTTTCAAAGGGATCTTCCTGTCCTCTGAGTCCCCATCAACGCAGCTTTGTTTCGCTCCTGCATGGTTCAGATGGTTACGTGACTGTCTGGCTCAGCTGTATGGAGCGGGGCTGTGCTCCTGTGGCAGCATGCTGAGCTGTGCTGTAGCTAGGAAACGATGTCTCATTAAGCACTCCCTATATCCAGAGTTGCGGGGCCAGATATTCATCCAATAAGCCAGCACTTTGGAGCCCTGTGATCTTGTTGCTTAACTGGGACAGGAGTCCTTCCTCCCATCTTGCAGCAGAGCTCAGTGACACCAGCCCTGCTGTAGACTCATGCAAGGTGCTCTCTTTACACCAGGCTTTGCACAACCAGATGATCACAGCTGTTCAAGAGATCAACAACTTGATTGAGCCAGTGGCCAGTGCAGCCCGGGCTGAAGCCTCCCAGCTGGGACACAAGGTAACAGGAGGGGCAGGGATGGGGAGCTGTTGATTGGGCAGGTAAATGTGCATGGAGATGCTCACACTGGGACAGAGGCTCTAGCCAGCCTGTGCTAGAAGGTGCTGACACTAATGCTGCTCTTTCCTAGGTGTCCCAGATGGCTCAGTACTTTGAGCCACTCATTATGGCAGGTATTGGAGCTGCCTCCAAAACACCCAACCACCAGCAGCAGATGAACCTCCTGGACCAGACCAAAACGCTGGCTGAGTCTGCCCTGCAGATGTTGTACACAGCCAAGGAGGCTGGTGGGAACCCCAAGGTGAGCAGGAGGTACATGTGTTGGTGGCATGTTCCCTTTTGCATGTGGGTGTAGTTTGAGAGGCTTCAACATGTGCCACATGGCGTATGTTCGTGTGCTGGACATGGAGACCTGGGAAGAGACAGTGTGGAGGGGAGGGAAGAGATGCTCCCAGGACATGCCAGAGTGCATGCTTGTGTGTGCATGTGCACAAGCTAAGTGCGCAGCATCCCCTGTGGGAAGGCCCTGGAGAGCAGCTGCCTTCTCTCACTGTGGCTTGCCCTTGCAGCAAGCTGCCCACACCCAGGAGGCTCTGGAGGAGGCTGTGCAGATGATGAAGGAAGCTGTGGAGGATCTAACCACCACACTGAATGAGGCAGCCAGCGCTGCAGGTGTTGTTGGGGGCATGGTGGACTCCATCACCCAGGCCATCAACCAGGTGAGAGGACCACAGAGAGGGCCGGGTTGAAGCTGGGAGTGGGGGAGAGAAGCGATCGGGGTTAAACTCTACACTGGACGTTGTTGTTGCCTATTTTCCTGGGGATCCAGGTACTGAGCCCTGTTTGGGGAGGGGAGGAAACAGCACTGAGCCTAAACAGCCCACAGAAGCAAGGAGAGGTGCACACTGATATCCAGATCTGCCTCCTTGGAGCTCTGGGGATCATGCTGAGGGAGGGAGCACTCAGAGCAGCCTGAGGCCATCGCAAGTGTAGGCCCAGGCAGGTTAGCACAAGCCTCCTGCTGTGGAGCACAGTCAAGGAGGGTCTGTGGGCTGCGGCTGGAGCCGAACTCTCCTGATGTTCTCTTGCAGCTGGATGAGGGGCCAGTGGGTGAGCCAGAAGGGTCCTTTGTGGACTACCAGACCACCATGGTCAAGACAGCCAAGGCTATTGCAGTGACCGTGCAGGAGATGGTGAGTGCCACGGCCAGCAAGCATGCCAATGCCCCCTTGTATACCCCTGCTCAAGAGGGGAAGGAAACAGACAGGAGAGCCACGGTCTCACCCAGCTTGGGGACGTTGCCCTCCTTGCTTTCCTGCCTCAACGTAGGGCCTATCTGACTTTGGCTCTTCTTCCTCCTGCAGGTCACCAAATCCACCACCAACCCAGATGAGTTGGGCATACTGGCCAACCAACTCACCAATGACTACGGGCAGCTGGCACAAGAGGCCAAGCCAGCTGCGCTCACTGCTGAGAATGAGGAGGTAGGAGCAGCGAAACCATGAGGTCTCCCAGTGAGCATGGGGAGAAGTACTAGAATATGTCATAGGGAAGAGCAGGATTTCCTGGAGTGTGAGAGCAGAGATTGAGAGGCCCTCAAACTTCCCGTCAGAGGTGAGGGGAGGCAGCATTCAGACCTCCCCTGCAACCATGTGTGGAAATGTGAAACAAAGCTGTGTTTCCCTTTGGCAGGGCAGCAGTAGATCTCCTGAATGGGAGGACTGGCAGAGAGGGGCAGTATTGGGAAATCCTGTTTGGAGCTGGGTTGGGGGGGGTGCGTCCCATTAGGTATCACGGATGCAAGGGTTAGTTCCCTTCCAGCTCTCACATGCGTATTTGCTTCCAGATTGGCTCCCACATCAAGCGTCGGGTGCAGGAGCTGGGTCATGGCTGTGCCGCCCTGGTAACCAAGGCGGGAGCCTTGCAGTGCAGCCCCAGTGATGCCTATACCAAGAAGGAGCTGATAGAGAGCGCACGCAAGGTTTCTGAGAAGGTGAGCAGCCCAGAGGGTCCTGGAGCAGGTAGCAGGAGAGAGGGGGAACAGCGCGGTGAGGCAGATGGAGGGAGGGATGTTGGACTAAGCCACCAGCCCTCTGAGCTGCTGTGCTGGGTTCTCCCATGGACCTGCTGGGCTCTACATGCGCTCTCAGCCCCACTTGCCCTGGCACCATTCAGCTGACAAGGTGGAGGATAGATCCCCCTTTGACTGTCCAGGCACCGTAATAGCCACTTTTGTTGTGATGGGCAAGTGTGATGTCCGGGTGCTGCCTGCTGAAGTGCTGGTGATGACTTGCCAGAGGAGACTAAGTTCCACAGTGATGGCAGCCCAAGCTCCTCTAAATCAGCCCTTGTAGTGGTATGTATAGCATTTGCTGCATCTCTAGCAAGCCTGCATCTCATATTGGGTGGTAGATCTCTGCTGCAGTTTTTGCTGATAAAGTAGAAAACATCTCGTCTGTCAGTCAGTCTAGAGAACACGCTTATTAATAACAGACAAAAACATGCCTTAAAAAAATCTCGTTGATAAGGGTAGATTTGCAATACTTGTAAGCAAGATTGCGAAAGCAAAATAAACACTTTGTTCATAACTTCCTGACACCTGTCTGCATGCTCAGGGCCTCCTGCAGGTTCTTTGTTTCCGAGATTACTTTCCATCAGGAAACTTATTCTCCTATGAGTGTTTGCCAAAGTAGAGAAATTGAGTTTAACAGTTAAAGAAGGAAAGAGCTGTAACGTTCTGATACCCGTCATTCAAACTTTACTCATTTGGAAATTATCAGAGCCCCGTATCTCCTGTACCCCCAAACAGGATAGTTACAAAATATAAATAAATGAAAGCTAACAAAGGATGGTCAAACCTCACGGTTTCTGTTTCCCCCTTCTTAGTTTGAATCTGTCCTGGGGGAGGTGTCGGAGAACACGTACGGTAGGGACTGCCTGGATTTGCTCTGCTCACCAAGTCACCCTGCGTGTTTCCTTCAGGTGTCTCATGTGCTAGCAGCCCTGCAGGCTGGGAACCGTGGGACGCAAGCCTGTATTACAGCAGCCAGTGCTGTCTCTGGCATCATTGCTGATCTCGACACCACCATCATGTTTGCCACTGCAGGAACCCTCAATCGAGAGAACTCCGAGACCTTCGCTGACCACAGGTACGAGGGAGATTCAACACCTCATCTGGTCACTGCCCAACCAGAGTTGGGGGATCAGGCCATGTCCCACAGTCTCCTGTCTTTGTTGGCTGTGGACCAGCCCCAAGAAGACCGGCACGGTCCAGGTCACGCTGGCTCTCTTTCCCCCTCATCTCATATGGACAGAAGGCAGAGCTTAAGATCTTTCTAAATCCCTGACACGCACATGAGATGTACTCTCCCTCTGTGTTACGGCACCTGGCCAGGTTCTTGGCACGTTGTCCTACTGTGGCTACACAAGGAATGTTACATGCGTGTAGAGAGCAGATGCTTGTCCGTCAGTCCTTAACACGCTGCATCAATGCACAAATACAGGGCTGTATTCTCTCTGACCCTTGTTCTCCCCAGGGAGGGCATCTTGAAGACAGCCAAGGCGCTGGTGGAAGACACCAAGGTGCTGGTGCAGAATGCCACGGCCAGCCAGGAGAAGCTAGCCCAGGCTGCACAGTCCTCTGTATCCACCATCACCCGCCTGGCAGAAGTGGTGAAGCTGGGTGCTGCCAGCCTGGGCTCTGAAGACCCTGAGACTCAGGTAGCGGGGGGCGTCTGGGATGAAGGAGGCTACTCATAGCTTTCTTGAGGTGGTTGGAGATGACGGTTTAGGATGGTGCTCTGGGCTGGACTCTGTATGTCTCAGTGAGGGCTGACTGGGTTTTCGCTGGTGTCAGCAGAGCTGGCTGAGCTGGACTCGGGGTACACTGGGTTACATCTGTGCCCAGATTTCTCACTCTAGGGCCACCACCAGGCTCAGTGTGACTGTAGGCAAGCCATTACCCTGGTCTTACTTTCCCTAGGTGGTTCTGATCAATGCTGTGAAGGATGTGGCCAAGGCACTTGGAGACCTGATCAGTGCCACTAAGGCAGCTGCTGGCAAAGCTGGGGATGACCCTGCTGTCTACCAATTGAAGAACTCTGCTAAGGTCTGAGTTGGGGCATGCTGGGCTGATGGGAAAGAGAGGATGGGGCAGGAGGGCTAGAGAAAGAGTCGAAGGCCTTCTGTCCCTGTCTAGGGGCAGGTGAGGAAGTGGGAGGCAGATTCAGGGGGAAGGGGTTGGGTACAGAAATGAGGGGGGCACAACATGCAGAGGAAGCCCTAATGGAAGAAGAAAGCGAGGTGATGTGAGTCGGGTATGGGGAAGGGGCAATTTTGGGCCAAATCAAGATGGAAGAAAAGGTATTAGCTGCATCCAAGAGCTTGCATGGGACCTAGCCTGGCTCATTTCTCCCTTCAACAGGTGATGGTCACAAATGTGACTTCCTTGCTGAAGACAGTGAAGGCTGTTGAGGATGAGGCCACGAAGGGGACGCGGGCACTGGAGGCCACGATTGAGCACATACGCCAAGAGCTGGCAGTGAGTACGGCTCCAAACCAGGCAACCTTGGTGCCTCGGCTGAAGTCCTACCTGCAAAGCTGCCTTTATGCCTCACCTCTGCTTCTCATCTTACAGGTCTTCTCCAGCCCAGTGCTTCCTGCCAAGACTTCAACTCCGGAGGACTTTATCCGTATGACAAAAGGCATCACCATGGCAACAGCCAAGGCTGTGGCTGCTGGCAACTCATGTCGGCAGGAGGACGTCATCGCCACAGCAAACCTGAGCCGTCGCGCCATCGCTGATATGCTGCGCTCCTGCAAGGTACCGTCACGTGGGTGGGCTTTGTTTGTGGGCACACAGGTCCAGCACAGGTTTGCGTGGAGCAGCATGCACCCTACCAGTGGCTGCAGGTGCCCTGGCACAAGCCTAGTTGTTGCTCAGGGCTGTGGAAGAGCATCTGGATGTGAAACAGGGTTACTGTCTGTGATTTTCAGGAAGCCGCCTACCACCCAGAGGTGAGCGCAGACGTGCGCCAGCGGGCGCTCCGCTTTGGCAAGGAGTGTGCTGATGGCTACTTGGAGCTGCTGGAGCATGTACTGGTGGTGAGTGTCCCTACCCCAACTCGCACAGTTTGCCGAAGCAGCCCTTGGACACCAGGGTACTCCACAAATCTCCAAATTCCTCTGGGCTCTGCAGCCTCCCTCTGAGATCCTTTTACACACTCCTCCTTGCTGCCTCTACATGAGCTGCATGTAGCCAGACCCCTGTTGTGGGGCTGAAGGCAAGGTGAGGAGATGGTGTGTCCTGGCCACCAGCGTGAACGTCAGACTGCCTGATCCAGGAAGGCCTGTTCTTCAGCTCCTGGCATAAGGAAGAGACCTGCTTGCTGACTTGAGACTGCACAGCACACTGCTCCATGCAGGCTGCCCACTTGAGTCTTTATCCAGTGCTCCTGGGGAGTTGCGTAGCCTTGCTGAACTCTGTGCTGAGCAGCTCTACTACTGCAGTGCCCTGGGCTAGTTTTGTTAAAGTTACTTTGACCTGAACTAGGCAGTGGCTGTCAACTCATCCTTGAAGAGCTAGCGCTAGATTCCTCTCCCACTCCCTGCCCCTCTACCTAATGCGTGGCCCCCTCCCTGGTCTTGCACAAGAAAGGAGCATCTCCCATTTTCCCTAATTGCTTAGACTGGCAAAATGCAGGTGAGCAGGCATGGGAGTGCTCCTTATAATTGCTTAAGGAAGCAGATGTCGGAGATGAGCAGTCTCTAAAGAAAAGTATTTATCCAACAACAGATGGAGATTGACTGGCCGTAAACAGATGGAGGCAGGAAATTTGACAACACCAGAACAAAGTCCTGAAACAGCTTCCGTTAAGAGTGGTGGGAGTAAGAAACTTTAGCTAGTGTGGAAGCAGAGCTTGTTAAGCTTGTCAAAGGGAGCGTTAGATGAGCAGTGCCTGCAACGGCAGAGCTGTTGACTGCAAAGGCCAGCTGCACCCTTTTGATCCACTCTCCCTATAGCTTACTCCTCCAGAGTAATTCAGTTGACTGCTTTAATTAGCTTTCCACAAGATCAGTGTGGTTTACATGAAGCAAATTAAGAATGAATTAGCCAAGGGACTGGAAGAAGGGATCCAATGAAGTAGTTCCAGTAGTTTGCATTCTTGGCAAGATAGTAAAGATAAAGCTGGGTTTGCTGGAAGGATGCACAAAACCAGTGGCTGGGGAGCTTCTGATAACTCTGGAATTGGAGTAATGAAAACCAGTGAGGATGAGTCAGTTATGCAGGTTATGCATAACTGTTGGTTAAATAGGATTGTTTAAATGCCTGTTGTTCAGATTCACTAAATGTAAGGCCAGAAAGTTCAGACCATTTAGTTTCTTGCAAAGAAAACTGAGTT